GCCATTCACCAATTCTGGGAGAGACTTGACGGCTTTAACCACACTTTTATACAAAGTTGGAGAAGCTAACACAGTAAGAGAGGTTGTGCTCTTCATCAATGATTGATTGAAGTTTGAACGCCCACCTCTTAGATGATAATCTGTGGATCTGAGCCTCTTCATATTGGTGCTAACAGTTGTACTGTTGAAGAGGACAACGGCATTCACATCGACGTGTAAGCGCTTTCCCACAGGAGCTGTTTCGGTGAAAATTGGGGCCTTATGTCTTGAGGAAAAGTGAGAAGAAATGCGATCATTTGGTAGGAAATACGAGTATGTTATCGGAGCAACGAACTAAACAATTCGTGCCTATGATTCTGCCTTTTGCTGCTCAAATGTGATCGGCTGGACGAGAGCAGCGCCCCCCTTTTAATACCAATTTTCAAGGACTGTCATTTTTGGGTGATATCTGCACAGGGTTAAAACACCTTCTACATTTTTTTTCGAGCTTGTCTAATGGAGTAAAATGGCTGACAAGCTCAGGTAGTTTGCTTCAAACCAATCGACACTTGCTTTTAGAATGGACGCTAGCCAAAGGATTTTGTCATCTCATCCCCTCGCCCTACTTCCATTCAAACACCTCCTTTTGACTTAATCCTGTTGGATGACAATATAACTCAAAACTGGTTGAACGATTGGCCTTAAATGAGATAGACCAAGAGATCCATCAGATGCACCAATGCATGATCCTTCAAAGCCTTGGTAAACCAGATACAATTGGTTGTTCGTGTGCTATGAAATTCCATGGAAGGTGGACGAGATATTAAATGGTCCAGGGCATCATGGCGAACCAAATGTCATCATACCATGGTAAAAGTGTTCATCTTAGTGGTTTCTTTTATTGAACAATTTGCAAGATAGTGTGACTGTAACATCTCAAGACTTCCCGTCATGTAGATGGAGACATTGGGTAGGGCTGAGAGAGGAGGAAAAGTGTTTGGCCCGTGGATCAGTCCAGGCAGTCAAGAGCACGACAAGTACCGAAGTGATTGCGAGTCATGCAGATAGTCGGATAAACAAGCCAGCACAAATGACCCTTTTTGTCAAATTGTCTGAAAAAATTGCCAAGGTAACAACTGTCAATGTGGATCACGTAAAGACGTTTAAAGGACCAAAGGTGTTTTGGAGGAAACGTAGTTTGCTCCCTCTAGGCTAAAATGAAATGTTTGAGTCTAGTGGGCAAATCTGGTGGCTCCATTTTTCGTTGATTTTCCGCCCTTAGATGCGAATTAATTAATTTTAGAGTCTAAAGAGTTGTCTACATTTGGATTGCAGCGAAATTAGTCGGCTCTAACCTTCAGTCCATTCGGTGATTAGTCTCCGTCGTATCCCCACTTTACTGCCGTCTGAGGTCAGTCTGAGCTAAGCTAAAAAGCATTCTATCGTTTGCTGTTTTACTAAATGAGGCGGCTATTCATGTTTTCGTTGTTAAAATAATCTCATTGGTCAAGGCAAGCATGGAGTGACTGCTCTAACGGGTTCGGGCAGACAAATTTAAGACGTCTGTCATACACTTCCACTCTATTAAAAGATGGGCGAGTCCAATTTACTCCGAGGAGGCATAACCAGGCGACTTGGGCGTGTACTTACAGTCCTATGCATCTGTTCCAAGTAGCTTCGAGCGAGTTTATAGCTCACTGACCGGAAAAAGCCTCCAATGTATTTTGCAGTACTTCTGTGGTTTTGCATTCTATTAGTGGGCGGCTGGATTGGGTATGTTGAAAATTAAACTATTGTGTTGGTAAGTCAAATCTTGTTCCTACTCAGTGGCTTTTATTTGAACGTGGATTACGAAATTATCCATTCCAAGAGCGTGACAAAACGGGCAATCCCATAGACGCGAAAGGCAGTCGCGTTTTGCATGTTTTGGCCTCGTATTCGGTGACGATGTCCTGGAATAACTCAGTCGGATTTAATGCGTTCTAGTGACCACTCCTCTCACCCATGCTTGAAGGTAGGCCAAGTTGGAGTATTGAAAAAATGTTGTTGAAATTTACTTCAAAATTTGTTGCCATGGTAGTGATTAAACATTGATGTCAAAATACCGAATTGTACACTTCTATGGGAAATAATTGCTTCGGAGTGAATGCCCTTTAGCCACACACCTTTGTATTCCCGCATGCCCATTTCCAAAGGTCGGGACAAAGTAGACCTTTGGACATGCAGTTTAGTCAATCCTAAATTGGACAGGGCAACTGCGCAGACTAATTAGGTTTTTTAAAAAAAAAAACAAAAAGAACAAAGCAGTAATCATTCAATCCTTTTAGTTTTCCAAGACTTTCAAGACATGCACATTTCTTAGCAAGGAGCCTCAAAGGTCCAAATGGTTAGCCATACGCTCAAAAGCAGTTGTTTAAAACGTCCAGAGTGTTCGACTGACAGCACTGAAAGCAAATTGAGGTTTGGAAGAAATGTGCTGTTGCTGTTGCCACATCGGAGTGGCGGAATGGCCTCCACGATCACCAGCAAACTTCAGCGCCGAAATATATGATGTACTGTTGATAAATGATTGAATTCTCTGATAAAATCGAGACAAAAAACCTACTCCTACACTCAATTCTAAGTCATTTGCCAATTTTAAGCATTTTAGCGTACAAATCTACCTTTTTTGCTTCGTTTTCTGGCCAATAGTAATGATTTTAAGTCGAAATTGAGAGCATCAGTTCATTTCACCAACATTTAAGGAGCATTTTATCCCAGCATCCGCCAATTAGGTCTCGTACGCGGGTTTTGTGTTCGTAAAGTGTCCTCCAACCTGTCCGCGAGTGGAATCAACTCTGCAGCAGGGCGAAAGAGCAAAAATGCTGCCCAAAGGATAGATATTGTGTGATGCTTGAACAGGACTGAGTGGAATGCTTGTGATGATAATTAAGACATCCTCTCGTGAATTAAAACCGAGTTCTGCCCCTTGAGACAAGTCTTAAGTTGGAGCTTAGATGCTTTTCACTGGGAACTTGAGAGACGCATACGGTTTCATCTAATTTATGAAATTATAATTTTCTATTAACCGCTGCATCTTCTTGAGTGAACAGAAAGCGAATTAAGTGTAAACAAGATACACAAGAAATCTCTAGAATATGATTTTCACGATGAGGTGCTTTGGGGTGAAGCCAAAATTGCCTTGCAGAACTCAAACCGAAGTTGAGTGGAGTGCTCTTGATACGATCGACAAACTCGGTCAACTCCAAGGGCCCTTGTAAAACTGACCATCAAGTTGTTGCACAAATCCTATCAGCCACATTACTTCATTTTATACGAAAAAAAGACTCGAACCCCAAGACGAGAGCGAACCGGTGATGTTGTTGCCGCATCAAATGCTGACTTTGCAAGGACTGCCGTATTTGGTCTAGCAAAATAGCGGCATCGTGCGCCAGAAGTGATCCGCTCTGCCCCAACTCGAAGTGTATCGGGAGAGAGGGGCTGTTTGACGTGCACTTAAGCCTTGTTTTGAACTGCGGCTGAACTAGCCAGTCGACTAAATTATGGAATGGGCAATCAAGAGGAGGGAGATGGACAAATCGGGGCGTTTTGTAGTCCTTCTGGTTTGACCTAATGAACTTTGTATGGCCCTGAAACGAGATTGTGCATGAAACCATGCCTCAGTACCAAATGGATATGACAAATTTCGACACCTCCTTGAATACACTTCACACCAAATGACTTCAGTGCAACTCTCTTTCCTGAAGAAGATAAAATAATTTAAAGCAACCTGTTTGTTTGCGTTTTTACCATCTGTGCAGTGGTTGGACGGCCCACACCGCCTTCTTGTCGAGTCCTCATCAATCCTGTCGCACTCTTTTCTTACTCTTACAAACAGTAGTTATTAAATTTAAGAGAAGCATCCAGCGAGAAATGCAGACTCCCTCGCTGGCAACAGAGCTGTACCAGTCCTCCTCTCACGAACAACCTAAAATTAACATTTCTCTCATTAATTCCGTAGTGTTTTTCTATCACCTTCAGATCCACTGCATTGATAGCGTGGCCTTGAGTCAAGCCTCCGATCTTGCCTTTTTGCATAAACACATTTGTCTTCGTTATGAGTTCCCTCGAGTCTTTGCATTACTCAATAGCCACTTGGTGATGATAAATACTTTCGTGATTTGTTGATAAGTCTCTGCATTAACTCACCTTTTAGGCTAAGTAGGCAGCAGAGATCACCCCACTCTCAACATTTCTTAACGTTAAGAAACAAAGAAAGAGAGAAAGCGCAAGCAACTGCCCTTTTGCCTATGCAGAAGCCTTGAATGACAGATTTATGCATCAAATGCCTCCCTCAATAGAGTAAAGGCACCCAAGGCTGTCGCCATCGGAGGGGAAGTGGATTTCAGTGGCTCGCGAAATTTGACCTGTTCCCTTTAAAACGGAAAAACCCTGGCGCTTGTCTCGCCTGCGTCTTTACAATAGGCCAAGTGCTACTTCAGTCTATAAAACGGAAAAAATCCGAAATGTTACAAAATCGTGTACAACTGATAGCAGGGGATTCATTTTAACAGAAACTCTTATTCATAGCTGTGGACAAACTTCAATGCTAAAGTAGTGGAAAAAGACCCTTTTTTTACAGGTTTAGGCACAATTTGACAGATACATTCATTACTCTGAGACCTTGTTTGTACATCCAGTGGACGATTAATCTCATCTACCCGTCATTAATTGTGTCTTGCACTGATGCAGCCTTAGCGACTCAGCCAACCATGTCAAATGAGTTGGCACCACTTTAGAGGCGAGACTTTCATGCCAATTGGACGGACGTATAGAGAAGCCTTGCTGATATCGTTCCAGAGTGGTAAACTTGGCTCTGCCCTAACAACGCCCACCGACAAGGCAATGGATTTTCAAAAATGGCAGTTTTGATTATTTTTTTACAAACCAGTGCATGGATTACCAGAGATGGTACTTGAATGTTTTATCAAAGCTTTTCATATCCTAAATACTCCCGAATGCGTTAAGCACTGCTGAAATAGAAGAGGCGGTGAGCCACCCTGAAGTGGTGTTTCTTTAATTTTGCAGAAGCCAAATTTCTATTGGACACCGGGCGAGCGAGGCTTCGTGGAGTCGGCCTTTTTCTACGGCTACATGATAACTCAAATCCCTGGGGGAGCCATTGCTACAATTTTCCCGGCCAACCGCCTCTTTGGCATTGCGGTAGGTGGAAGCGCGCTATGCAATCTCATTGTGCCGATAGCCTGTCGCGGATCCTATGGTGTCGTTGCTTTTATTCGTGTCCTTCAAGGGCTTGTTGAAGTGAGTTTCTCTAGTTACTGCCACGTCTACAAGTTCAAAATGTTTCTACTTCCACAAACTTTGATCTCATATCACTAAGTGGTTTTGCAGTTCTCCTCGCATGACAGTGTTGAAGTTCATCCTTTGAATAAGAGAGCAATTGAGGGACGAGAAACATGTTGACTTCGCGCACACGTAAATTAACTAATGTTGAATGGAAAGTGAGCAAGAACATAGGACAAAGGGTTAGCAACACCGTTGTCAAGTCGGCAGGTTCCTCGGCGGGTAATTACTTGCGTGGGGACTTGCACATCGCCTACTTTGCACTGACAAAGTGATTTGAGGCATAACTCATCGCAAAGGTGTTTGATAAATTCCTAAGAAAGGTACTGATTAGCTAATAGAGTAGAAAGTTTTGCATTCAAAAGTCCTATAATGCTGATAAGAGCAGAAACCACGTTCGACTACGAAATCGAGCGACAGTCTACTGAGCCGACTTAAAAACCGTTAGTTGGAGAACGTGTTATTGTTCGTCTTTAAAAGGTGCTGTTTCAGTTAATTTCCACATCCACCGCTTGCCTAAACGTCTGCTACTCCCATTGGCTTTAGGGCGTCTCGTACCCCGCGTGCCATGGCATCTGGCGCTACTGGGCCCCGCCCATAGAGCGCTCCCGACTGGCCACCATCGCCTTCTGTGGTGTGTCCTCTCCCAGTTCTCCCACCTTCACCCTTCGTCCCCTTTAACCAGAATCATCGTTTAGTACTTCAAGAAGTCGTCTTACCAAAAGAACAGCCTACAGTTTATTCGAACTTCATCGAGGGAATTGTGAATGAAGGACGGTCACGAGCATAGAAGGCAGTGGTCATACACTTTAACTACTTCATAAAGTGTGCAGTAATGGACCAACTAAGAGGGAGGAGTTGATTATTAGCTGTGTGATGCATTGTCGATTGGCATTTTATTCTCTCCAGCCCTCTGTATCGTTGACAATTTAGACCTACTCCTTAGCCTTTAACAAACACTCCAGCAGATCCGGAATCTGCAGTTTCTGCAGGTATTCATAATTAAAGTAAGCACCTACCAGCACATTGGAAGTGAAGTGGGCCTCCAGTGGACCAAAAAGGAGGGCTAAGAGAGATGAAAACTTTGATGAGACTTGTAGGCATTGTAATAATGCATATGGAAGGTGAATAGACAATGAATTGAGGCGATACCTTTTCGCTACTTCTCAGGATCCTATGCCGGTGCCGTGATGGGTCTTTTTATGTCTGGCATTCTCGCACAATACATGGGCTGGCAGTCTCCCTTCTACCTTTACGGTGAGGATCTCCTTGTCAAGCGTAGTCCAATTCTCACCCCCCTCTTCTGGCCGAGAACTCGGTTTTAAATTCTTCCATTCCAGTAGACGCTTCGCAGTGTTCGATTTTAATGCGCAATTTAGCAAAAAGTCAAGTATAACTGGAAGAAGCAGCTGTGATTCCTTTCAAACATTTCCATGCAACTAAAGTAGCCCGACTAAAACAGGCACCGCCTTTACAAAGTTAGCCATTTTAAAACCATGGCATCTGAAACTGTGATACAAACTAACCTCGTAGTGGTGCCTTGCAGCTATTCTGGGATTGATGTGGTTTGGAATGTTCTGGAAGACCACCTACGAGAAGCCGTCCACGCATCCAAAAATCTCGGCAGAGGAGCGCGATTACATTGAGGAATCCATTGGCGAGGTCGACCTTCCACCAAGCCTGGTGAGTCGCAGGAGTTTTCAAGTGGAGGTAGTGGACCATAGATGTGATTTTTATGAAACTAGAAGACAAACTTAGACAATATTGGGCTGCAAGAAGTGAGTAATGCCTTCAACATTTGGGGTTGCATTGTCCCCCTTGCTTCCCAAATTCTACTGACAACTTTCAGAAAACCATTCCGTGGAAGTCGATCTTTACTTCTATGCCGGTGTACGCCATAATTGTTGCCAACATTGCTCGAAGCTGGTCCTTCTTCCTACTCATCATGAAATGCCCAAAGTATTTAAAACAAGTATTCGAATGCACCACTGCCGAAGTGAGTGATTTCCTCCCCCAAAGTCTTGCCTCTTCAAAATACAAAAAGTCTGCATTTTTCGCTCCTTTGGGACGATTGAAATGTTAGCCTAAAAGCGCAGCGATTTGGCATTTTAAAGATGCGCACAAGAAGAAAAAATTAAAGTACCTTGTGAGATGCTCATACAAAATAACTACCAAAATATGAAGCCCTGCATTTAAAGGATTGGATTCGAAAGAAGCATAAAGACATGAGTCCAATGTTCTTGAACTTGTCAATTTTACCAAGTCCTATGAGTTTGGTTAGGGCTCTATCGTGGATTAGGCATGCAACAGGTAGTAACATTGTCTTCAACTGTTTAGCTGGCGTCCTTTCTGTGTCCCTATGTAGTCAGGTGTCCTCTCTTCCGTTCCACATTTGATCATGGCCATCATTGTCCCCATCAGCGGTCAACTGGCGGACAGACTCCGAAAACGGACGCTCACTACGACGGCCGTTCGAAAGATCTTCAACTGCGGTGGTAAGTTGACCCTTCAAGAGGAGTGGTAAACAAAGTAAGGCAAAAGGTAGCAACCCCAATTCTTACTACAGATAGGTCGACAACCTTCATTTTCATACACTTGTTACTACCACATCGAGTCTGCAGAAGCAACTGTAGGCTTATTGGAAGTAATGTGCTTACAGCACTAAGATGCTGCAGTACCACAAACAAATGTTAAGCAAATCATCTAACTACTTTAAATTCATTGCCAATCTTGGCCCCCTCGCTTTCGCGTTTTAATGTTAGCGATTGATGAACGACGCCAAGGCTGTACGAGTGACAACAAGTGCATTAGGACGAATACATTCTTTATTGCCAACCAGGTGCAACCCTTTGGGTTTGCAAAGTGTTGCTTTCTTTTCAAAAAGAAAACTTCGAACCAAATTGTCTACCTTCACACCAGAAGGCATCTTCAACGTAGTCGAAAGAAGACGGTTGGGAAGAGCAACACTTATAACTCCTGCTTCCATCCCAACGACACGCTTTCATGGCCTATGTTGCCTTTGAAGGCAAAAGTCGGACCCACACTTTGCACACTCTCCTTCCTCACCTCCACGCCCCATGCACCCGATCCATGTCCTCTGCAGTTGTCCACTTCAAAAGGTTTTGATGAAGGCACATTACAGTGACGCATCAGCATCAGGAGGGTCAAGAGGAGAGCGAACGGAATGGGCACTACTTCTCCACTTCCCATCACCCACTCTCCACCCTCCTCCCCCGTGATAGTGTCGTCATACCAGCGAATGTGACATGCCTTCGACTGCCTCACTAGCCAATGTCAGCAGATGGGATCCACCTTCCTGACTTCCACACATCTTTCCCTCCCCTAAACACCACCCACAAGAGGCGCTCATGCGACCTTGCAGTGGAGTGTGGCAGTAGAGAGGACGAAAAAGTGTCTCTCTGCCGGACTGATGCTCACCTCTGCTTCATATTGCACGCATTCCTCAACCCCCTACAAACTGCAGTAAATCGTTGCAGTGGGCGATGCGTAAATGCCTTTTATCATCAGTTGACATCAGCTTTGTCTCTTTCATTGTTCAGTTAATAGTTCTGACCAATCGATCTTAATTTTCCTTACCGCTGAGTGTCTTCGTCTTTTATTGCGTTTGCAAGTGCCTTTTGAGAATCTAAGCCTGTTTAGTTTTTAATGCTGACTTGTATGGAATATGCACAGTACTGTGCGAATTTGGAAATACGATAAAGTGCTCCTGCAATCTGATCCTTAATTTCTCATCATCAATAGCTCTCTTGACTTTGCTCTACCTTAGGGTTTGGAATGGAGGCCTTTTTCTTGCTGATCGTGGCATTTGCAAATTCGTACACCACAGCAATGGTCTCCCTCATCTTGGCTGTCTCCTTCAGCGGATTTGCCATTTCAGGTGAATCTTGTTTGGATCAAAACCACTTAGTGCTCATCATTTTGTGCTGAATGTTTAATGTGCTTTCCTACTAGGATACAACGTGAATCACCTCGACATTGCGCCGAGGTATGCAAGTATTCTAATGGGCCTTTCCAACGGCATTGGTACCATCTCCGGCATTATTTGTCCCGTAATTGTGGAGTATATAACCACTCAAGGAGTAAGACGCCTATAAAAACCCTAAGTAGTGTGTGAAATGAAGGATGAAGCTTATAGTTTCCGACGTTTTTTAGACAAAGCGTCAGTGGATGTGGGTCTTCATCATGGCCAGCTCAATTCACTTCTTTGGTGTCACCTTCTACGCAATCTTCGCATCTGGTGAGAAACAGCACTGGGCAGAAGCTGCAGAAGATGCACAAATGATGGACTGGAGGTCGCCGACTGACGTTCCAGAGAACATAGTTCGATCCGGTTACGACTATGGAACTGAAGAAGGCGGCGACATAGAGGCATCCTTACGGCAACCATTAAAAGAAAATGCCTCCAGAAACAACGATGTGCACAATAGTAACCCATCAAGGACGTTCATGACACAGACATTTAGGGCGAGTAATCGGTCGGAGGCTGAAGATGATGCTTATCACCAAGCTTACTGAACTTCTAAGTTACGAGCCAATCGTCCTCGTCTAGAAATGATCTTAATTTAATTCTCTGCTGAATCCTATTCATTACCTCTGAAGAGTATCTGCCTGTATATCTAGGCAGTAGAGGAATGCTCCTTCCATTTTTACCTCCAAACTTCTACCTTACTATTTTCCTTTTCTTCTTCCCCTCCTCCTTCTTCTTCGTCCTTTAAAATCACGTAATTTCGCCGTTGTGTTGAAGTCCCATCCTACGAAGTGAAGAAACTACTAACTCAAATGTCCTCATCTTTTGCTCATTTGGGACGAAATTATTAAAGCATTTCAAGCGATTCCAACAAATAGAAATCCTGAGCAAAACACGCAGGTAGGGTTTCGCGTGCTTCATATTGTTCAAAGAAAGGCAGCATTTAAAGCCGCTAACAGAGTTGAGACACATTGGAAAAAACTTTGGAGCGTTTTTAGTAAATATTTACACGATTTTGAAAGGCTCTTAACATGCGAAATTGAATAGGGTTTATCCCGTCATGAAGGCTATTTGACGTAGATGTAGTGCGCCTTTCTCGTCACTGGAACAGGGTCTGATCCACCGAATGATTCTGAGGAGTTTGGAGTCGGTGACTCACCTCGCAAAAGCTGTTGTTAATGTTAGTCGAGCGTAGTAAAGCTGGCAAAATGTTGATTTAGAGAACGTAACTGAATCAATCCGAGAGCTATAAAGGGCAATAAAATCGTAGCACAACAAGATTTTTATGACAAGTCAAAAACAAATTGACAAAAATGCTCAATTATAATAGTAAGCTTACAAAAACTGCTATCTCAGTTAAGCACTTGTAACACATTGCATGTCTAGTTATGGGCTCTGGGCTCTGGGAAATATTATGGGATTATGGGCTCTGGGAAATAGCATAATTGGAGCCCCTCACATCCCAAACATTATGCTTCTTTTTAACCTCAGAGAAGCATTGAGACACTTTGTTTTAAAATTCAATAGTAATGGAGTCTGTTTCCCCATTCTATGTTCCGCTTTGCAAGCCATTTTTTCCTACTTGCGACTTTCTACTAAATAACAGAGGACATTAGACCTGGTTGCATTCGTTCATTTAGATAAAAAGTAAGTGACTGACGATCACTTTGGTAGTTCTTCTGCTTTTGTGCGTGTGGGCTGGACTTCAGACAAAGCTAAATCTCAATCTCTTCTTCCTCTCCGTAGACTGCGCGTATTCAGCTCGACCTAATGCTTTCTTCTACTTGGTGAGAAGTCTCGAGAAGCCACAATGGTGATAACAGAAAGCGAAACCCACTACTTTTCGGCTTCAGTACTGGTTTTGGCCGTGCGAATGAATACCCACCATGAACGAGAGGACGTCTGCGTTTGAAATCCACCTCATTCCCTTTTTCCACAGACAAGTCATCAACAGCTGAAGCGGCACCGCCATGTACCATCTGGAGTCCTCACCAAATTCATGCAAAAATGTTGATGACGATGAGAGCGCGCTGGGGACCTTCCATGTCCAATTTTCTCCGTTGAGCATCTGTTTTAGTCCAGTGCTTTAATAGCTCTTCCGGGACACAAACGATAATCGAAAGAAGAATGCGCACTTATTCCTGCTTTTAGACTAAATTTAGCTCCAGATCCGGTAAAGTTGATGGGTG